GCTCGACAGCATCCTGCGAACAATGTGGTATGCAGATCTATCATGAATGAGATCTTCAAGTCTGTGGTGATGAGGTTCATACGGGAAATTACCCTCTGTCTCTAATTGAAGAACATTGAACATTGATTAGCTGCAGAGCTGGGAGGAACTACCTTAGGTCAAGAGATTACTTCCGGCAGATTGTGAATTAAATTCTGTCTGTTTCTATTCATCTCTGGGTGTTTGGACACGAATCGACCGAAAAAAGTGGTCGGTTTTGACACCGCCGCGTGGATGGGCAAATGTATGAACGGAGAAGGTCGAAAGTTACTCAAACGTCAGCCACCCGGCTTTCCCATCTCACACCATTGAACTGAGATTGAGTATACACGGTTGATTGAACAACTAACTGTGATTGAAATGATGGCTTAATCATCTCGTTCACGGCTACTTCAATTCATAGAAGTGCTTGTTATTGAATTTTCCCGCTCAGACCTACGTAACTGGAAAGCACAGTCGAATTCATTAACCTCACCTTAGAGAAGATATGCATAAATCAGTGTCTGACAGCTTTTTTTCACCAATGCGCATATTAACGTGGCTCTTGTATAATCAGTTTATTACAGTCTGTATCTGAAGAGGTACTGTGAAATCGATCCGGAAATAACTCGCTCAAATTATCCATGTTCGCTTCGTTCGGATTTATATAAGGAAAGGCTGCCTCAAATTACTTTCTGGTGATCCCAGTTTTCCATGTTGGACGATCGACCTTCAGTGGCTATATTGTACCGTAATGCTATTTCTGCTTCAGCATTTTGGACTCAAACAGGAATCAGCTGTAGTCGACCTCGGATAACCAAGCAAAAGTTACAAGGTGATTGTGAGATCGATGCGACAGTACCGGAGGTCGCTTTGTGTACCGTACTCCGTGACTGCTATCGGGCCAAAGGCTCAGTTTGTCTGGATCCAACATCAGTGAGTCTTTTCACCATATAAATTCGGTTTATATCGTGAAGTGTCATTCAAATCGTGCATTTTATGAGAGGCTATCAGCTCACATAGGGAGCAGTAGAAGCGGTCCCAATGGTAAAATGTGAATTGAGTCAATAATGTCGTTAGTATACAACTTGTTTGGAGATGAAAGGCGTCGAGTAATCTGGCGGTGAAGTATATTTATAAGCCAGTTGGTAAATTTAGGTTCTCAGATTTCCATGCATGGATGAGTATTTGCAACGTCTCTTGAACAGCTGGTTGTATTGCAACTTTCAACTCACTAGTGGTTCACAATTTCTACATCATTCATTTGCCTTTTAGTCCTTCATTCACTCCTAATTTCATCCCTATTGTAATTGACTAGATCGACGATCAAAGTATCAAAGTAGCTGATGTTAGCAAGCAAACTCATGCTCATTATGGTTCGTAAATTGTTTATTCAGCTAACAGACCTAGTGTTATGCTTTGTCACAATAAAAGCTGATATTCACAAGTGACTGAATTCAGAAATATGAGCTGATCAAGAAGTCTTAACTTAATGAATAATGAACATACGTACTATTGCAGAGAGGCATACATGTTCACATTTTTGTTCCCCTTTAGTAGTTATTGATTATGTATCACGCAAAACTTGGAACTTGTTACAGATCAGCTATTGCAGTGTGATTTGTTCCAATTGAACTTTCTCGTGACACCGTTCTTTTCCTCTCCTCTCCTTCTCTCTCTCTCTTGGTAAACAACTTGCACATTTCTCTGATCGATCACATACACACACAGGTCAACTTAAATCGCATGGCAAAACAAGTCAATCGACTCACAGATCCGATGGATTTCTTACGAATTCTTCAAGTGGCTTCAGATTTGCTCGCGTCCAGTTTGGATGGCACAGTACAGACGTCGTACACAGACGCGGATCAGGTGGCCGATCTGCTCTGGTCTACCATCACTTTGATGCGCGGTTGGCCGAATGCATCGCAGATGGCCTGTGAGAGCCGGAATGGAGCGTTCTGTGTGACGGTGCAACAAACTCAGACAGAGATAATGAAATTGTTACTCCGACTCGGAGATCAGCTGTCCTCGTGGAGACTGACAGATGGTTGGAGTGTGCTGTTCCAGGAAACCGGATTGGAATCAGATATTGTGATCTATTCCATGAATGGTGTGATGGCAGGAGTTGCGGCTGCCCTGAACATGACTGAACTCTGTCACCAAAAATGGCATTCACAGATACGGCTCACAGATAGTGCCACTGTGATTCAACAATCTGTGATCAGCTCACCATGTCTGGCTAACAAATATATCACGATCGCGGTTCCTGGTTCTAAGCAAAATGTTCAGCCAGATCTATTTCGCGTGGATACCTCGTTAATCTCGATAAACTCAACTCAGCCGGGCTACTTTACCTTGATGAGACTTTCCTCACCGGTGCCGGAAACTGTGTGGATTAGTGGTGGACTTCCAGTTAGCGCATTCACCAATGAAACTCTTTATGGACCACTGATCTCGAATCGATCGACTGATCCGGCTCTTGTGTTGGTTCTCAGTAAGACTTCTGCGTTGCGTATCGCTAGTCCAATTTACGTGTTCGACACGAATTTCCCATTCAACTCAGTCTCTGCTAGCTCCAACGAGGTTATCCGATTTACCATCCAACTGTCAGAT